ATCTGATACTAGCTGAATTAAGTGAACAAGTGAGATTAGGTGAAATACATTTTGTTAGAAGCCGTGGGTTTCCTAAAAGAAAAATCAAGGCTTATGAAAAATTCTCAAATGGAAACATTGAGGGACAACCTGCTGTGTCTGGCAGGTGCCAGTGTGGTGTGGCCTTCACTAAGCGCAGGCGTGAGCCTAGGAAGGAGTCGGTGGCCCTGTGAGCACAGGCCACACCCTGCACCCTTCCTCCCAGGGTTCAGCACCACAGGAGCCAGACTCTCCGAGGAGCAGCCACGGAGCCTGCTCTCAAGAGGCTGGCCTTCTTGTGAGAACAACAGCGACGGTAGCCGAGCACGCTGACTGGGGGCTTCTAGGTCGGTAGCAGCTGTCAGACGGCCAGCACAGACCTTCTCTTCAACCCCCAGACTTAGCCTGTGGTCCTGCAGGGATGTGGTCCCACACATGCGCGTCTCACGGTTCCGAGTGGATTCCAAGACAGTGCTGTGAGCTAGCCCTCCCCCAGCCCCACCCCAGCAGGCTGACCTCATGAATAAAGCGCCGGGGAAATGGTGAAAGCACTGTGTCACCCTGACGATACTTGACATCCCTCCCAGGAGAAAAGACTGGGAAAGTGAGGTGGTGCATCCTTTACACTGCATTCATTTTGCATCTAGATGTGTAGCAGTGGCTTAATATTTCCTTCTTCTCTTTGAGCATTTTCACTTTTTACCAAACAAAAGTCCTGATGAGAAAGGTGAACTGTGCCCTGTGACTTACACTCTCGCCTTTCTTTAAAGAGAGGGGTTAGATTAGTGCAGGTTCCTGCCCCCTATCACCTGTCACATAATAACTCATCCTATTACTATTGGCTGTTCTCTCTTCTTTAGTTACTTTTACACTTTTCTATGATTTCTTTGATTCTCTAGTTTCACTTTTTGTCTCTCCAGACCTCCCCTCTGCCTAATGGAGAAACACCTTGGGGATGAGACCATTGTCCCCAAGCACATCTGCAGACCCCCCCCCTCCGAGCCCCCTTTCCAGCACCACCGTTTCAGGGCAAACTCAGGGCTCCGGCCGGAGGGTGTGCCCAGCTGCCCTGCAGCCCAGCTCCCCAGGGCTCCCCGTCACCGTTCTCACTTTCAGGCCCCCCAGGATGCTGCGGTGCCCCAGTAGGAAGCAAGAGGCCACTGTAACACGGATGAAGTTGTCTTGAGAAAGTCTTAAAGTGTCGCCAGGTCCTGGTGGGCTGGTTTGGTCTGGAGTTGGCTTCAGCCTGTTGCTCCTGGTAGTAGCCCCTAGAACCTCTGTGCTGTCCAGTGCCGTGGCGTGTGCGTGGCGTGTACATGGCATGTGCGTGGCATGGACACTTCCTAGGGAAGGTGGGGACACTGCAGAACAGTGAGCCAACCTTGCCATGGCAGCGGAGGGCTCTGAAGAAATACTTTCTTTTTATCTCTGAGTTTAAACTACTTTTTGTTGCTGGAAAGTGTAACCTTGAGCAAGTCAATTAACTTGCTACAATTTTTATTTACACAAATATGGTTATCATGAAACTTAAACATGATACATGTAATATGCTTAAAACAGTCCTTGGCCCATAATAAAGTAATAAAGTAGCTGTTATTATGTTTATAACTGGATGTCAGTCCCTTCCTATAAAAGAGGATTTTGTGCTTTTCTAAGATTTCTAGGGTAATTTTGAATACACATAAACATCTTTTTTTTTTAATTTTTACTTTTTGATTGATTTTAGAGAGAAAAGAAGGGAGGGAGGGAGAGAATGAAGGAGAGAGAGGGAGGGAGGGAGAGGGAAAGAGAAAGATTGATTTGTTGTTACACTTATTCATGCATTTATTGTTTGATTCTTGTATGTTCCCTGACCAGTGATTAAACCCACAACCTTATCTTTTCGGGACAATGCTCTAACCAACTGGTCCAGGGCTACATAAACATCTTTCCATTCTTAAATACTTTTTATATAACCATTTCAATGGCTGTATATTACATTGTGCCGATGTATTATAATTTTAAAAAATCTTTATTGTTGAAAGTATTACATAGGTCCTCCTTTCCCCCCCATTAACCTCTTCCAGCCCGCTCCCACCCATCCCCCCCCTCAGCCCTCACCACCCCACTCTCTGTGTCTGTGAGTTATGTGTGTACACATATGAATTCATTGGTTGGTCTCTTCCCTGACTCCACCCTCCCCTGCCTTCCCTCTGAAGTTTGACAGTCTGTTCAATGTTTCTATGTCTCTGGATCTGATCATTTTATTCATCAGTTTATTTGGTTCCTTAGATTCCACATATGAGTGAGATCATGTGATACTTACCTTTCTCTGACTGCCTTATTTTGCTCAGCATAATACTCTCCAGGTCCATCCATGCTGCTGCAAGTGGTAAGAGTTCTTTCTTTTTATTGCCGCGTAGTGTTCCATTGTGTAGATGTTCCATAGTTTTTATCCACTCATCTGCTGATGGGCACTTAGGCTGTTTCCAAATCTTAGCTATTGTAAATTGCACTGCTGTGAACATAGGGGTTCATATATTCTTTCTGATGATTGTTTCGGGTTTCTTATGATATATTCCTAGAAATGGGATCACTGGGTGAAATGGGAGTTCCATTTTTAATATTTTGAGGAAACTCCATACTGGTTTCCACAGTGGCTGCACCAGTCTGCATTACCACCAGCAGTGCACGAGGGTTCCTTTTTCACCACATCCTCTCCAGCACTTGTCGTTTGTTGATTTGTTGATGGTAGCCATTCTGACAGGTGTGAGGTGATATCTCATTGTTGTTTTGATTTGCATCTCTCGAATGATTAGTGACTTTGAGCATGTTTTCATATGTCTCTTGGCCATTTGTATGTCCACTTTAGAGAAGTGTCTATTTAGGTCCTTTGCCCATTTTTTAATTGGATTGCTTGTCTTCCTTTTATTAAGTTTTATGAGTTCCCTATATATTTTGGAGATTAACCCCTTATTGGATGTATCATTAGCAAATATGTTCTCCCATGTAGTGGGCTCTCTTGTTATTTTGTTGATGGTTGTTTTGCTGTGCAGAAGCTTTTTATTTTAATGTAGTCCCATTTGTTTATTTTCTCCTTAGTTTTCATTGTCCTAGGAGATGTATTGTAAACATATTGCTATAAGAGATGTCTGAGATTTTGATGCCTATGGTTTCTTCTAGGATTTTTATGGTTTCACATCTTACATTTAAGTCTTTTATCCATTTTTAGTTTATTTTTGTGTTTGGTATAACTTGGTGGTCTAGTTTCATTTTTTTACATATGCCTGTCCAATTTTCCCAACACCTTTTATTGAACAGACTGTCTCTGCTCCAATGTAAACCCTTGCCTTCTTTGTCAAATATTAACTGAGCATAGTGGTGTGGGTCGATTTCTGGGTTCTCTGTTCTGTTCCATTGGTCTATATGCCTGTTCTTATGCCAGTTCCTGGCTGTTTAGAACACAATTGCTTTGTAGTACAACTTGATATCTGGTATTGTGATTCCTCCAACTTTGTTCTTCTTTCTCAAGATTCCTGCAGCTATTTGGGGTCTTTCTGGCTCCATATAAATTTTTGGAGTGTTTGTTTTAGGTCTGTGAAATATGCCTTTGGTATTTTAATAGCGATTGCATTGAATCTGTAGATTGCTTTGGGTAATGTGGAAATTTTAATGATGTTGATTCTACCAATCCATGAACATGGTACATTCTTTCACTTTATACCTTGAACTATCTCTTTTTTCAACGTCATGCAGTTTTCAGAGTACAGGTCTTTTACCTCCTTGGTTAAGTTTATTCCTAAGTATCTTAATTTTTTTGTTACAGTGGTAAATGGGATAATTTTTTAAATTTCTCTTTCAGAGAGTTCACTGTTGGTGCATAAAAATGCCATGGATTTTGGGGTGCTAATTTTGTATCTTGCTACATTGCCGAATTCTTTATTAAATTTAGTAGTTTTTTTATGGAGTCTTTAGGGTTTTCTATGTACAGTATCATGTCATCTGTGAATAAAAGTATCAGAAAACCTGAATAGGCCGATCACTACTGATGAAATTGAAGCAGTAATAAAAAAAAAATACTCCCAGCAAACAAAAGCCCTGGTCCAGATGGATTCACAGGGGAGTTTTACCAAATATTCAAAGAAGAACTAACACTTACTCTCCTCAAACTATTCCAAAAAATTCAAGAGGAAGGAAAACTTCCAAAGTCTTTCTATGAGGCCAGCATTACCTTAATTCCAAAACCAGATAATGACACAACAAAGACAGAGAACCACAGGCCAATGAACATAGACACTAAAATCCTCAACAAAATTTTAGCAAATCGGGTCCAGCAATACATTAAAAAGATCATACACCATGACCAGCTGGGATTTATTCCAGGGATGCAAGGCTGGTACAATATTCGCAAACCGATAAATGTAATACATCACCTAAACCTATTGCAAGACAAAAATCACATGATCATATCAATTGATGCAGTAAAAGCATTGGACAAAATCCAATACCCTTTTTTGATAAAAAAAAAAAAAAAACTCAGCAAAGTGGGAATAGAGGGATCAGACCTCAACATATTAAAGGCCATATATGACAATCCTACAGCCAACATCATACTCACTTGGCAAAAGCTAAAATCATTTGCCCTAAGAACAGGAACAAAACAGGGATGCTCCCTTCTACCACTCTTGTTCAGCATAGTACTGGAAGTCCTAGCCATAACGATCAGATAAGAAGAAATCAAAGGCCTCCAAACTGGAAAGGAAGATGTGTGATAATTTAATGACCAGTCTCTGTTCTGTTCTGGTGCAGTCAGTTTGAAGGTCTGTTTGTCTCTATGTGCCGCTGTCTTTTCCATCTGAATCGCCACTTATCCTGAATGGCGGGCCCTTGGCGTTAGGGGTGGTGTCTGCTAAGCAGATCTGTGTATGACCAGCTCCTGGACCAGGTGCTTAGGAAGTGATGCTTACTGATGAACACCTTTGACAGGTCTCTTCTTTTTCCAGGACAGCAGGGCTCTTCAGTTTGATTGACACTCTGTGGCCTCCAGTGGTGCCTCTAAAAGCACCTGGCCACGGCCAGGCCTGTGAAGAGGTAAGCCCAGCATCTGAGGGAGTCCCCTCGGTCGCCACCTGCTCTGTGCCAGGTGCTGCGCCAAGCACTGCCTCCACAGCCCACAGCCCCGAGAAGCCCAGGGCCAGTGAGCATGAGCCAGGACAGAGAGTCAGACCCACTCACATCCTTGCAAAGCCCAAGCTCCGGTTGCTTTCCTTCTGCGCTTCAGTATATTTTTCTTGAGGTTAATTTGATGGTGTTTTTAAACCACAGTTGTTAGGGTCATCCCATTAGGGTCAAAGTGAGGGTCTTAGCCTCATGCTAAACAAGACACAGAGCACCCCCCTCTCCTTCCAGTCACCAGTAGAACCAACACTCCGTTACACATTAGAGCAGAAACTCATAAAACCCAATAAATAAAATCCATGGGCATTCGTACAGCCAGCAAGTTAGCCAGGAATTTCCATTTTCCTGCCTCATCGTATTATTTACGGTAGTTGCTCACAGGTAGAAAAATTGACTGATTAAAATGTGTCCCCTTTTGTCTACCCTGAGCATTCTCCACCAGGCTGGCCAGCACTGCTTTGGGCTATAGTTCCCAATGCTGAAAACTGGGGTGGTCTTGTTTGTGTGGTAGCTGACTTCTTAGCAAAGTGCTAAGAATATGACTCTGGACTGTGCTGGACCAGCAAAATTGCTGTCAAAAATTCCCATTTCCAATTAAAAAAAAAAAAGGTGGTACATGTACACAATGGAATACTACTCAGCTATAAAAAGGAAGGAAATCTTACCCTTTGCAACATCATGGATGGACCTGGAGAGCATTATGCTAAGTGAAATAAGCCAGTCAGAGAAGGACAATACTGTATGATTTCACTCATGTGTGGAATCTAATGAACAAAGTAAACTAACAAACAAGATAGAAACAGACTCAGAGAGAACAGGCTGACAGCTGTCAGAGGGCACGGGGTGGGTGCGGGGCTGGGTGAAAAAGGTAAAGGGATTAAGAAAACAAAAACTCATAGACACAGACAACAGTGTGGTGGTTGCCAGAGGGAAGGAGGGTAGGGGAGGTAGAAGAGGATTTTGGGGGGATAAATGGTGATGGAAGGAAACTTGACTTGGGGTGGTGAACACACATCACAATAGACACATGATGTATTATAGAATTGTGTACCTAAAACCTATATAATTTTGTCTGCCAATGTCACCCCAATACATTCAGTTTAAAAAATGCTCATTTCTAGATTATTTGAGAGAATGTTCTAAATTGTGTTTTAAATATACTTTGAAGAATAAATTTCTAAAATGAAATCTGAGTCAGTAATAAATTCAAAAGTACAAATTTTTATACTTGGTCCCAGAGATAAACAACATAATCTATTTATTATATAGATATTTCTTATCAGCCTTTCAGAGACAGTATTCACCTGTGAATAAAAATGTATAAAGACTACATTTCATATTTGAGTCTTTAACGATGCATTCACGTTCTTCTTCTGCCCTGTTTCAAACAGGCAAACACTCCTCTGCCTCCTCGCTTCTGTTATGTCCTCACTGCTCACCCCACACTGGGACAGATTGATATCATTGAAGACCCTGTTTCTAAGCTTTACCAGCCCCCAGCTCCTTGCTCCCTACGAGAAATTCTCCAGGTAATGCTTTATTTCTAACAAGGCCTTCAGTTACTTTCTTTTTTTTTTTTTAATTTGTGTGCTTTGTGTGATGTTACAAATCTTTTTCAATGCCTTTTCAGACTGGTGATCTTGGTACCCGTTGCAGTTTCTATGCCAGAGTGATTTATCAAAGACCATTGGTAATCTCTCTCTCTCTCTCTCTCTCTCTCTCTCTCTCTCTCTCTCTCTCTCTCTCCCCCCCCCCTTATGTGTTGTAACGCATAAAGTGTTATATAGTTTATTAAAGGATCATTCATCCCCCTTAGAAATTAATGGAGCATCAAGATAGAAAAGCATTTTTGAAATTGAGTTACGCATGCTTGGTGCTGAAGAGGTCATACGTCACTCCTTGAATAAGTGTGGACTGCTGGCTACTGTGTTAAGTACTGAGGCATAAAACTCAGGGGTAACTGCCCAGGAAGATTCTCAGCCCAGTGACCGTAGTTCCTTTCTGACACATGGGCAGGTTGTAGAAAAGAAAGAGAAGCTGAAATTTCAGTTTGGAGTGAAAGTAGGAATCTGAGGATTGAGCTCAGCCACTTCTCAGAACTAACTCTTCATTATCTGCGAGCTGAATTGTTGCGGGAGCCCTGCAGACCCTCAGCCGTGGGCAGTTCTCGGGAGGGGCGGCCTAGAGGGGCTCGTTGTCCACTTCGCAAGTCAGCTAAGAGTAGACAAGTAAAGAGATGCTTTTGGCACGTTCAACCCATGATGTACGTTTCACAAGAAACCTCTGCTGGGCCGTGACTAAGAGGAACATGCATCTCGGTCCCCTGAGAGGTAGAGAGCATCCCATTGCTTTTCTCTCTCTGTCCACCCTTCAGTCATGTGACAGCGAATCAGTGCCCCTGAGGAGTAAGAGGGCGGCTGGCGTCAGTCACGCAGCAGTGCTCCTGGTGAGCCGTCCTGCGTCTGGCTCAGCGGCAGGCACAGGCCTCAAGGGAGGACACGGCCTGCTCACCTGATGTCTCTGACTTTGAGTCTGAGGCAGCCAAACCTGGCTGTGCACTCCTCTGCCCAGCATCTGCAGCGCTCACCTGGCACCTGGCACATTCCTGTTATTCCAGAGCGCATTCAGGTGGTGGGATGTGGCCTCGGGCAGGGGCTCACTGCGCAGCTGCTGGTTGCTGCAGGCAGAATGCTGTCCTGGGGCAGGAACGTCAGTCTCATGGCTGCTACTCCATGTGCTCCTGCCCATGGAGTAGGTCTGCCCACAGCCTTGCTGCTGAGACCAGAAATGGAAGGTTAAGAAAGCGGGGTCAGATGCTCACACCATTGCCAGCTCTCACCCACCCACCCACTGGGAGCCCTAGAGCAGAGAGAGACACACTGCAGGCCATCTGGTCCCTCCTGTTCTGAGTTTTCTGCCAAGAAATAGGCTCCCATCGGCTCACGTACAGCCTGCCTGCAAGCAGGCCTTGCAGTGGGTGTGAACCGAGGAATCGCTGGTACGTGGGAAACAGTCAAAGACTCAGAACCCAACCAAGCACTGAACTTCCTCAGTTCACTAAGCTTCTGTCTTTTGCTTTTGTGGGAAAGTGAATCACCAAAACCTACTTCCCTGGAGAGGAATTGAAATGCTAAGTCCTGGGCCCACTATATGGCTAAGCCAACACATGCTCAGTGACAGCTGACGTAGCATTTGCACAGTGAGTCACTGGGGGACCTGAGCTGTCAGAAGAGACTCCGTTGTAGTAACACTGTGCTAGTGGTTCACTCAGGAAAGGGAAAGGTATTCTTTTGTATTTAACTTTAGTTTTGAATATTCAAAATGTTTAGTTTCACAATAGATTGCAAAGAAGTTTATAAGGATTTCCTATGCACCCTCATGCCATCATCTCATACCCACAGTAACCACAGTATAGTATCACAACCAAGAAACTGACACTGGCACACTCCACAGAGCTGGTTCAGATCTCACCCGTCATACATGTGTGCACATGTACATGTATGCGTACTTTCATGCTGTTTTGTCACATGTGTAGCCTTGCATAACCCCACCACAATCAATGTTCCTATTATAGCCCCACCCATCCTGTTCCCCATCCCCAGGCATCAGGCAACCGCTAATCTGTTCTCATCATTAAAATTCTGTTACTTTATGATGGTTACATACATAGAAACATGCAGTGTACAGGGACGGGTAAAAGTAGGTTTACAGTTATAATACAAATAAATAATACAATAATTAGTAAATGATTATATAAGAATAAACTCTGTGTTTCGTGGACTCACAGCTATAAACCACTTTTGCCCACTCCTATATATTGATTTTAGTTTCCTAGGCCTAATGTGCAAAATGCCGAAAACTAGATGGCTTAAAATAGCAGAAATGGCCCTGGTCAGGTAGCTCAGTTGGTTAGAGTGTCATCCCAATGCACCAAGGTTGTGAGTTCAATCCCTGGTCAGGGCACATACAAGAATCAAGAATGCATAAGTGTAACAACAAATCAGTGTTTCTCTCCCTCCCTCTCTCCTTTCTCAGCTCTCTAAAACCCATAAATTTAAACCAATAAGCCCTGGCCAGGTGGCTCATTTGGTTAGAGCATCACCTCGTGCACCAAGGAGTTGTAGGTTCGATTCCTGGTAAGGGCACATACCTGGGTTGTGGGTTCGATCCCTGGTCTGGGCGCATACAGGAGGCAACCAATCAGTGTTTCTCAAGTTTGTCTCTCATATTGATGTTTCTCTCTCTCTCTCTCTCTCTCTCTCTCTCTCTCTCTCTCTCTCTCTCTCCTCCCTCCCTCCCTCCCTCCCTCCCTCTCTCTCTCTAAAATCAATAGAAACATACCTTTGGGTGAGGATTAAATAGTAATGTATAGAAATGTATTGTCTCATGCCTCAGGAGGCTGGAAGTCTGAAATGAAGGCTTAGCAGGGCCATGTTTCCTCTGGCAGCTCTGGGGGAGATTCCTCCCTTTTCTCTGCCAGCTTCTGCTCTTTGCTGCAATCCTTGGCCTTCCCGGGCTTGTAGATGCATCACTCCGGTCACATGCCATCTTCACCCTATGTGTCATCACAGGTCCTTCCCTCTGTGTCCAAATTTGCCCCCTCCTTTTTTAGTTCTCTTTTTTTTAATTGTTGTTGGTATTATAGATGTCCACCATTTCTCCCTTTTTGCCCCTTTCCACTTAATCCCTGCTTAGGAAACGTGCATCTAGCAGGACAGGAGAATGTGTATGTGCTAAATGTAAGACAGGTGGTCATTAGCATCATAGGTGTACAACATGGGATCAGGAGGCAGAGCACACGAGCTCTTCCTGAGCAGGTCAGAGGACACGGAGAGCGGTGCCGGGAGAGGGCAGATGGGATCAGAGCTAAGGTGCCCTTTACAGGTGCACGGTTGGGGCTCACAGGGCACAGCCATGTCAATGGACCAGAACATGACAAGTCCTGGATGTTTTTAAATATGTTGAAGTGATGTTAATGTAAACATGTAATAATGTTAATATAAATGATGTTCATGTCAAGAACAGTCATCTGACATTGCTTTAAAAATCACTTTGATGTCAGAGGAGCTATCAAGTTCATAGTCTTGACTGTGTCTCGTAGCTAAGCAGTTTGCTTCTTCTGGAGCAAAGGGAGATCTGGCTGACGGTGACCGACGTCACCCTGCAAGTGCAGGACGAAAATCACTCTGGCTTCCCCAGAACCCTGCCGGTCTGCGTGACCTCCTCGTGTGTGCTGGCCCAGGAGGTCCTGGAAGAACTCGCCAAGGCTGCCCCCCACAGCTTCTTCTTCAGAGACGCTCTCCGAGACCAGGGTGAGCTTTCTTCCTGACGGCTGTGAGCCAGTGGTGCTGTGCAGATTCCAGACCTTGGCTTTGGGCTTCCGGGTCCTGCTCAGACACTGCGGAGCCACCACTAAGCCCTCCGCAGACAAGGCATGTGGAGTGCAGAGGCCCCTGGTGCCGCCCAGGCTCTCACTGACCATGTCGTGGCCGCCTGGACAGAACCAGAACCCCTTGCAGTACGGGCAAACGGTGTCAGAGCTGCCAGTGGTCACTCTAGGACTGTCTGTTGGTGGCAAGCTTACAGGTGCAAGAGCCACTTAAGCCATTGCCTGGGACATCATTTTTTAAAACAAATGAAAAGCTACAAATTGTAAACATGTACACTTCGTCAAGGAACCAAAGTAGGAGCCTACCTCAACTATATATTTTTTTTTCTTTATTTCCTTGAGGTATAATTTTCATACCATAAGATTCACCTTTTGAGTTGAAAATGAATGTGGTATTTGTGTGTTTTTCAGCTCAGCACGCTGGCGGCTTGGGGCTTCCTTTCTGCACAGCGCGTGTGTCACCCCGCAGCGGTGCCCCCTGTCCCACACGGCTCTAGGGATCTAGCAAAGGACACCGCCTTTCCTGGCAGAGCTCCCTCTCCCTTCAGTGCTTCCGTCTGAAATGTCTCTCCTGACAGGTCGGATTGTCTGTGGTGAGCGCACTGTCCTCTCGCTTCCAAAGCCCGTTCTGGATGTGGCCTCGGGCACTCGCTCCTGTGAGCTGCCGGGCCCTGTGAGGCTCGATGGCCTGGATTCCGTCACTCAGGTCAACTGCATCTGCAGCGTTCAAGGTGGGTAGTCGATCTTATGGAAACAGTATTTCTATTTTCTTGAATATCACACTTGTCAGCAAGTAGTTGTTCAGTACCTGACATGTTCCAGACGTTGGATACACAGGAGCAACATCAGAAGAGGTTCCCACTTCTCGGTGTGTAGTCTGTGTAGCAGGACATGTCAGATATGCACACCGCCAGACACCGCGCCTCAGCATCCCCAGGGTCCAGGGCTGCTCCGTGCCACCTCCCCTGGTCAGGGCGGTCACTGAAGGCTCCAAGGGCAGGACGGAGCTCATGAGGTGAAGCGGGGAGGTCGGGAAGAATAGCTGGTAGGGAGAAAGCAGGCTTACAGAGGCTGCTGGAAGGATAGAGTAAGTAAGCCCCGGACTCTGGAAGGAGGCCAAAAGGCACCTGCATAGAGGGAGTGACCTGAGAGAAAGTAAGAGGGCCGGCTTGTGCAGGCCAGTGGGCTCGCTGTCAGGACCTCCCAGAGAGACAGCCTGGTCCAGTTCCCATCTCTGCAGAGCGGAGTGGAGGGGCTGGGCCTGGGGTAGCCGCCAGTAGGAGGACGAGCACCATCTAAAGCAGGGGTGGGCAAACTTTTTGACTCGAGGGCCACAATGGGTTCTTAAACTGGACCGGAGGGCCGGAACAAAAGCATGGATGGAGTGTTTGTGTGAACTAATATAAATTCAAAGTAAACATCATTACATAAAAGGGTACGGTCTTTTTTTTTTTTTTTTAGTTTTTTTCATTTCAAACGGGCCGGATCCGGCTCGCGGGCCGTAGTTTGCCCACGGCTGGTCTAAAGAGTGAGTGAATCCAGGAGTAGATTTCGTTAAGAGGGATTGGCAGGCCGGGTAATGAATTTGGGACAGAGGGAGGGGAGAACGTGTGTGATGACCCCTAAGATTCTGGCTTAGGTGACCAACCAGCAGTGGTAGCGCTCTTCAGTGAAGTGGAATGTGCCGATTCTAGGTTTCTTGCCTTCCATATGAACTTTAAATCAGTTTGTTGGTATCTACAAAATAACTTGCTGGGATTTTAAGTGGGATGGTCTTGAATCTGAGCATGGAATATCTACCTATTAATTTTAGATCTCTAAGTTCTTTTATGATCTATAGTTTTTCTCATCTGGATCATGTAGATATTTTGTTATAGTTTTACCTAAGTATCTTGTTTATTTTAGCATTAATGTAAATGGTGGTGTGTTTTTTATTTCAAATTCCATTTGTTCATTGCTAATATATAGGAAAGCAATTCACTTTTGTATTTTAACCTTGTATCCTACAATCGTACTAAAATTATTTTGTAGTTTTAGTTTTTTGTTGTTGATTCTTTGCGATAGTTAACATAGAAAACTAGGTCACCAGGACAGAAGGACAGTTTATTCTTCCTTTCCAATCTTTATACCTTTTATTTCCTTTTTTAAATTTTTTATCTTACTGTATTAGTTGGTACTTCCAGTACTGTTTTTAATATAAGTAGTGGTAGGGGACCCTCTTGCTCTCTTCCTAATCTTAAATAGAAAGTATCTACTTTCTCACCATTAACTATGATGTGAGCTGTAAAGATTTTGTAAATTTGTTTGCTTCTTGTTTTATCAGTTAAACATGGTATCTCTTTATTCCTTGCTTTGTAGGAAGTGAATATTAGCTCTCTGGCCCTGCTTTTACTGCTGTCTTTGTACCACCATCATACAGCTGTTTCTGTATATTGTTGCATGATAATTTATTCCATAATCATAATTAAGCCTTGCACACTTGGTCTACAGATTGATTCTCAAAGATGAAAATCAATAAATGGTATTTTTATTATGATGATAATATATTTTTTTGACAAATGGTATGAATGGAAACATACCAATGTTACATAATAAATCGAATGTACCGAAAGTAACCATAGAAGATGATCTTGTTGTAAATTCTTAACTGTACAATTCACTCCACTCCACTCTTCATTCCTCTCCTCTTCACTCCTATCCTCTTCACTCCTCTCCTCTTCACTCCTCTCCTCTACTATTCACTCCTCTTCTCTTCACTTCTCTCCTCTTCATTCCACTCTTCTCCTCTTCACTCTACTCCTCTCCTCTTCACTACACTCCACTCCACTCCACCTCACTTCACTTGGGTCACCAGGCCTTCTCATCACTCCCCAAACACCAACTCCCAGCGTATGCAGGCACTTCCTTCCAGTTTATTTTCTGGGGTGAAAAAGTTTTGCATCATTGATTTTCTCTTCTTTGTATTGCTCACCACTTCTGTATACATTCATTGCTGGTTCGTGTATAATGCTCTTACTTGCCATGGTCGCAATGGATGCAGCAAGCACACTCTGTCTCCTTGGAAAGTGGTGGCAAAGTCTTGGCCTTGGCCTCTAACTAGAAGAAAAATGTCTGAGCCCCAACTTCTTTCTGTCAGAAAGGTGGGAGTAGTGTGGCAGAGAGTTCAAAGTATCTGAAGAACATTTTAAACCAGGCTGACAGTGCCAGGAAAACCCGGACTGTCCAGAGCACGTAGCTGTTGTGTGCCCCAAAAGGAAAAAAGGGTTGAAGCACTTCCAATAGGACCTTTTTAAAGGACCTTTAAAAAAAGATGTTTTAATAAATATGTGATATGCCTTTCCCAAACCTAATTATAAGAGAGTTCTGTAAACAAGATAAGGACAGTGAAGGCTTTTAATAGCAAATTGCAGTTAAGTGATGAGTGTGGCGTCACACTTATCAAACTCTAGCAAAAATTGTTTTTTTTCTGATGCTCGCTTAAGTGAATGTTCTAGATACTAACAGGTTAATACACTTCCCAGGCATCCCTTGGAATTCATTTATGTCTGCAGAAGGGATTTCCCAGGGTGTATAGATCCCAAATGAAATACGTTTCCTCAACTCTTGTCCTAATTGGATGGAAGTAACTTAATTCCATATAAATGTAAACGCTATTAACACCCAAAGGTATCCTAGGATCAAAAGGAGCTTTGATTGGTAGCAGTCCCCTTTTTATTAATCCATTTAGCAGACACCAACTACTGCTGTGAGCCAGGCTCTCTGCTGGGCACGGGGCCTGAGGAGGGAGCCACTCCCTTTGCCTCACACCTTTGCCTGTTGCGAATTAGTCAGCACTCCTTTCTGGCTATGTTATAAGCTCTTATTGACTATGATTTCTATCCCTTTAACTTGATAGTCATTGGATTTGCAAGGACAATAAAATTAGCGGGGCAGCCTTTTCAAAATCAAGATGTGTTATTTTCATTTTTAGAAAGTCATTCAAGTATGTATCACATGAATGTACTTTAATAAATCAAACCTACTTAGTTCTCATAAATCTGTTTTGTCCTCTACAGATAAATTTTTTTCTAATGCTTGTTCTAGTGGGAATGCAATTCTTCCCCACCACAGATGGTGGGAAGGATGACTGGAAATGCAGGTCCTGTCTTACTGTTATTCAAACGTCTCATTTCACTTTCTACAGGATGGTCTGTGACTTAACAGAATATCTGCAATGCTTCACACTCCAGGAAAATTGGACCATCTCAATCTCTGTCTAAAATTTCTTACTGGCTTCTCATCCTTCCACAGTCAAGTCTAAAAGCCCCAGCAAGCCCGGCCAGCGTGGCTCAGTGATTGAGTGTCGACCTATGAACTAGGATGTCCCGGTTCAATTCTTGGTCCCCAGTGCGGGGCATGCAGGAGGCAGCCAATCGATGATTCTCCCTCATCATTGATGTTTCTGTCTTTCTCTCTCCCTCTCTTTTTCTTTCTGATATTAGTAAAAATATATTTTTAAAAAATAAAATCCTCAGCAAGACCCTGAGTAATCATAGTCTGTTAACTCTACAGCCACTTTACCTGCCTTTCCTTTATGCCCGTTTGGCCTCAAGCCTCGCCCCAGGAAGCAGTGTGACCTGTGCCCCACCCTCACCTGCATTCCTATCTCAGTTCCCTTCTTTTATGAAGCCTTCCCTGACCCTCAAGCCCGCCTAATGGGCCTCTCTTCTGCACCTCTGAAGGGTCTGTTCCATTTCTTTTTTTTAAAATATATTTTATTGATTCTTTTACAGAGAGGAAGGGAGAGGGATAGAGAGTTAGAAACATCGATGAGAGAGAAACATCAATCAGCTGCCTCCTGCACACTCCCTACTGGGGATGTGCCCGCAACCAAGGTACATGCCCTTGACCGGAATCGAACCTGGGACCCTTGAGTCCGCAGGCTGACGCTCTATCCACTGAGCCAAACCAGTTAGGGCCATTTCTTAATTTAGCATTTATTTTATGGTAGTGTTAGGTGTACCGCAAAATTAAGCAGGAGGTACAGAGATTCCCTTATTCTCCCTGCACCTCCCGCCTCACACAAACACACACAGTCTCTGCCACTGTCAGCATCCCCATCAGCATGGTACATGTGCTACGGTTGGACACATCCTAGTCGCCCAAAGGCCATAGTTTATGTTAAGGTCACTGTTGGTATTGTCCTTTATTTGGGCTTAGACAACTGTATGACATGTGTCCATCATTACAGTATCCCGCAGAATAGCTTCACTGGTGTAAAAATCCTCTCCACTCCACCTGTTCATTTCTCCCGCCCCAGTGACACTTGGCAGCCACTGATCCTCTTACTGGTTGTATCGTTTTGCTTTTTCCAGAATGTCTATGTGTAGTTGGAATCATTAGCTTTTTAAAACTGTCTTCTTTAACCAAGCAATATGCACTTGCGTTTCCTCCATGTCTTTGCATGGCTTCATCGCTTATTTTTAGCATGAATAATATTCCATTGTCTGGATGGGCCACAGTTTGTCTATCCATTCACCTCCTGAAGGACATCATCGTTGCTTCCCAGTTTTGCCAGTTGTGACCAAAACTGCTGCAAACATCTGTATTCAGGTGCTTGCGTGGACTGAGCTTTCAGCTCCTTTGGGTAAATACCAAGGAGTCTGATTGCTGGATTGTGTGGTAAGAGTGTGTTTAGTTTTATAAGAAACCACCAAACTACCTTCCACAGTCGCTGCACCGTTTCGCATTCCCCCGGCGGTGAGAGAGGGTTCCTGTTGCTCCCCGTCCTCACCGGCCTCTGGTGGTGTCTCGTTCTGGACCTGGGCCATTCTAATAGGGGTGCAGTTTGGCATTTAATTGTTTTAATTGCATTTCTCTGATGATATATTAGACATCTTTTCATATGCTCATTTGTCATCAGTATATCTCCTTTGGTGAGATGTCTGTTAAGGTCTTTGACCCATTTCTTAATCAGGTGTTTGTGTTCTTACTCTTGAGTTTTAAAAGTTTATTTTATACTAGAGGCCTGGTGCATGAAATTCCTGCACTGGGTGGGGGAGCCTCAGCCCGGCCTGCACCCTCTCACAGTCCGGGAGCCCCGCGATGGATCACCCTTGCAGAGGGAGGCCCCACACACCTGCCACAGCACTGCTACGGGGTAGCCTGGGCCTCCCTCTTTGGGGTGATCGTAGAGCCCCTCAAGTTTATCACCACGCCAGCCAGGGACCTGGGCCTCCCTCTGCGGGGCGATCATGGTGTGATGGCCGAGCCCCCGACCAATCACATCACATCACACCCGCCTTGGCTGGCCTGGCGCCAATGGGTGTCATAGCGTGGTCCCGGACAGTCATTCTGCTGTTCGGCTGTTCAGTCTATTTGCATATTATGCTTTTATTATTATAGATTGTGGATATTAGTCTTTTATCAGATATGTCCTTTGCAAACATTTTCTCCCATATTTCGTGGTGTTTTTACTCATTATTTGTTTATCTGGATTGCAGCATCTTTATGTTTTCAGTGCTACACATGTATCCCACACTAAAGAGCATTGTATACATGTTTGTTGAAAAAAATAAATCACAAATGTGGGAGTAAAAAGAACTAGGAAGCCAGAGAAATCACTGAATAAGAGATACTAACAAACCCATAGAATATTTATTTTTCCTTATCAGAGGAGTGGAAACCAAGATAAGGAATTCCGTTGTGCTGTTCAGGAGGCAAACACTGAAAGTGGTTTCCACACTCAGTGCCATGAGACCGCGCTCTGCGAGGGGAGGGGACGGGGTCAGAGACCTTGTGGGAAGCACCTTCTAGAGGCGTTTCTATCGCTGCTGCTCACAGTAGCTCTGCTTCCTGGAATCCATCCTAGGGAAGGGGTCTCGGCACAGAAAGGGCCTCAGCAGGAAGACACCCCCTGCTTAACCGCCAAGGAATTCGGAGACCCAGATGTCCAAGTTGGAGAGTGGCTGGGGGAGCTATGACACATCACCTAGATGGGTATCAGTAAGACAGATAAAACAATTCTCAATAGTTACTTAGCCGCCTAAAAGGAGGATGGGACATGGCACCGATGATGTGCTTGTAATGACTCCAACACGTGTGCATCTGGAGAAAGACCAGAGAGATCGGGCACAAATGAAAACACTTTAATGTGGGCAGGTTTTAAATCTTACCTTTTACTGTTATAATGCTGTCCGATACACGGACATTATAGAAATCTCAGGAACATTTATATAAACTCAAAAGTGAGAGAAAAATCCGAAGCCCTTGGTTACCCTCTGCGTCCTGAGGAGCACAGAGAGGCTGGAGGGCAGACCCTGAGCTGGCCCTGCTCTCCCTCGGCCTAGGCACTGTGGTCGCTGTGGACGAGAGCACGGCCTTCTCCTGGCCTGTGTGTGACCGGTGTGGCAGCGAGAGATTGGAACAGAGCCCAGAAGACAGGTAAGGGGCAGCGACTGGCCTGAAAGACCCCGGGGTGCGGCGGCCCAGTCCCAGGACCCCTCCTGCCTCCCTGCCCGGGGCAGTTCCCCCCCAGGGCCCAGGGCCCAGGGCTGGGCAGGAGCTCCGCAGCAAAGCCCGCCTGCAAGGCAGAGGCTGCGGACACGGTCTTCTCCTCACGTGGGGGTTTTCTCCGTGTTCCTGCAGCTCGTATCTTGTAAAGAGAAGCCAGATTTGTCCTCTGTTATTAGGAGAAAAGCAAAAGCCAGGGTTCACATGAATAAAGAAGACTAACCTGGTGACTGACAGCTTGTCCTCCGTGGGGCACAGGCTTCCCAGAGACCAGGGGACAGGTGCCCGGCTGTGCCCGCAGGGGCCCAGCACCCGCTCCGCCCCCCTCGGGAGGGTCTTTCTCCAGTCAGTTCTCTGGCCTCCCATGTGGACTCTGTCACGTGATGGATAGAAAGGGGCTCCTTACTTTCCTGCTTCATAAGAAGCCCAGGGCAGATGTCTCCTTGGCACCTCCTGGCTGGAAGGCATCGTGTGTGAACGAGTGGTTGCTGGATCGTGCCTAAGAGACGAGCAGAGTGGGAACCACAGGTGGACTTGGCAGCAGGAAGGCGCGTAGATGCTGACGACTGAAAGCAGGTTTCCCGTCCAGCGGAGAGGAGGCCTGCCTTCCCCTTGCCGGGCACAGGGCTTCCCTTTGCTCACAGGACGTTTGCTGTCCTCATGCTCAGCTGGATCAGCTGGATGAGGCATCCTGCTGAGTGCCCTGCCCTGGTTAATGCCCACACACATCAGCCAGAGGGGGGAAGCTGACCTTTGTCCCTCAGCACAGGCCGAGCCCGGCTGCTGCGGCCTATTTCAGGAACTTGGTTTTGGAAAGTAAATCCCCTGCTATCTCAGCACTCATTCCTGTCCAGGAAAATGCCTGTCCACTGCTAGATGCTCATCCGCTTGTGTTCTGCTGTGTCTTCCCTGTGTGCTTCCCAGCGACAGAGGCGCCTTTTCCTGTGCGGACTGCTCCCGCGTGGTCACCTCTCCTGTCCTCCGACGGCACCTGCAGGTCTTCCTGGCCTGCCCCGCGCGGCCCCAGTGCACAGTGAGGGTCAAGGTAGGAGCGTGCGCCCTCCGTCCCTCACGGAGCTGCTCTGGCTCCCGCCCTGGGGTAGGCTCGCATCCATTGCTCTTTCCCTGGGAAAAGGTGAAGGACTCACCCTCGGGAACACAGTCTTTCCATGTCTGTGGCCTGACAAGCCACGTTTGACTTAAGGCTTTGAGATCGGAGCTACTAAGAGAAGGCAGTGGTTCCTGTCTAACATGTTCGTCTCCAGGCGTGAGTGTCAGCACCAGCGCTCTCGCATCCGGGAGCCCTAACCCAGCCATGTGACTGTCGTTGCAGCTGATGCAGAGCAGTATCTCCTCGCTCCTGAGGTTCGCCGCCGGTGAGGACGGGGTAAGTGCCCGGATGTGTGTTCTGTGCCCGAAGCCCCCAGCTAGCAGATCTCCCCCAGATAAAGACCCCGTGCCATGTGCTTCCCGCTCCGGCGGCCCCGCAGCATACCTGCACGTGCTGAGTGCGAGACTGCACCGAGGCCTGGCCCTCCGACAGCTCTCATCGCCGGCAGATGCCCACGTCTGCTAACAGGTCTTTCCTTTCTGGGATCGGGGTTATTCCTGCTCAGCCTTACAGTACAGTCATGAATTTGACCCCCAGGCCTTGGATGATAGAACAGGATTGAGATTTCAAGTCCCGCTGCCGTGGTTTCACATTAAGAGAACAGGATTGACTGAGATACACACCTTTGTGTCCCATTTGAGTATTTGGTAACGAGCATTAGTTCTGAGAGTCACTACAGTGTGACTTAGCAAAGTGCTGCTCCTCCGAGAAAACCACCACCTGAATATACCTTGGGGCCCAAGAGTTCCCTTCTTCCTGAGAGCGGCCTCACGCAAGCAGGCTGTCCTGGAGGCACCGCCTCTGGCCGCAGCCATGGACAAGCACCGCAGTGGCCGGGGAGTTGCTGAGCCCAGAGGAGGGCACCGGGCTGACCACTGAGTGGTGCCAGGCACAGCCCCTGGCCGGAGCCGGGGTCCACATCGAGGGGCCGACGGCCAGCTCAGGAGGTTACGGGGCCCGGAGACCGATCGTGCAGAACTTCCTGACGGGCTCTCCCGGCCCAACTCCAGCTCTGATTCCAGCAGAATCAGGCTGATTTGGTCCATCCCGTGGAGGCTGCCCTCGGCCCGCCACCTGCTGCCCCCCCTCCTGCCCTCAGGGGCGGGCGGCACCAGGAGGCGGAGCAGCGTCACGTTCTTGCATCTAAACTCTGAGTTGGATTACATTGGAATGTGGATCAGTCCCGAACAGAACCTTAAAGAATCACTGGTCTGACTACGGTTCCCGCGCGGATTTCAGGGTAGAGTCGCCTGTGGAGCTATAAAAGGGTTTGTGGCTCCCTCCCCAGGATAAGCCCACCAGCCTGGGCCTGTCTCTTTAAAACAACTCGGTGACACCCCCTCACACCCCCCCCCCAACCCTGCGCTAAACAAGGGGTTGCAGTGCCAGTAGGGGTTGGTGTTTAGACCAGGCTGCAGGAGGGCTTATAAACAAGTATTCCCTGGTCATTTCAAAGTAGAGTGTAAGTAAGTAATTACAGTGGCCCAGGAACGCTGTTGCTTTTCTCACGTTGCCTATTTCGTCTCCCTAACCACCCAGGGGGCAGGCTCCACACTTGACTGCAAGGGAAGCAAAGGGTTGCAGGGCTCACGGCCACTGTTTTGTCGGAGGCAGAGAGGGAGGCAGAGAGGGAGGCCTCGCTAGCCCCACAAGTGACCACTTGGCTGAGGCAGTCGCCAGCCCAGACTGGGGAGTGGGGTCGGGGAAATGGGCTCATCTGTGTGTGTCTGTTCTTAGTGAAGTCTGTGTTTAATGGGTGATGAGTTAGCAGCACCTCGTTGCCTCATCTCTCAGCGCTTGGGGGAGAGAAGAGAGGAAGAGAGAAGGGCGTAGTCCTGGGCCAGGGGTGGGAGGTTTCTAAGGCGGGGCTTTCAGTGGGCGCCAAAGAGGACAGAGCTGGGTTATCAGGGAAGTGGAGAGGGTTGGGGGAAGTGTTGGTAACACTCCCTGCTCACATGGGAACATGAACCAAACCCACAACCTAAACAAACCGAACCAGCAGCACTTGGGAGTGCTGCACAGCTCACCTGCTGTTCCACCCGGACAGGCCCAGGTTCGCCTGCATTCTCCAGGCGGCCTCCGCGAGGCCTGCCTCCCACTCGGTCCTGTGGCTCCCCACCCAGTGGCCTGCCTCCTCCAGGCGGCCTCCAGGGATGGACGGCCACTCTCCGCAGGAGCGGGAACAGAGGAGGCCTGTAGGAATGCTCTTCTCCATTGATTTCCTTCTGATGGTACCTCCCACACATCAAACTCCGCAATTGCAGTGCTCTCTTACGTAAAATCCTAAAAGAGCTCAAAAGAGCATGTGTGTGTACTTGAGTGTTCATGTGTTTGTCTCGTACAGCTGTGTGTGCTCGTGTACATGTGTGTGCTAGAGTGTGTGCATTGGCTGAGGGGCGCCGGTTGTGATAGCTTCAGGTGCCAACGTTGCAGGTACTCTCAGAGCTGACACCAGGAAATAAGGCAGATGCCAAGCCTGAGGGGCGTTTCAGTGAACTCCTCGCCCCTACCCCCAGCGCTACTCACAGGGGGATCAGCGCTTTACATCTGACCCGGAAAGCAGCTGGAGGATGGGTGATAAAAAGGACTGTGTGTGTGCCTGGCTGGTGTGGCTCAGGTGGTTGGAGCATCCGATTCCTGGTCAGGGCACACACCTAGCTTGCAGGTTTGATCCCTAGTCAGGGGGCTTATGGGAGGCAACAGGTCCGTCTCTCTCTCTCTCTCTCTCTCTCTCTCTCTCTCTCTCTCTCTCTCCCTACCTCCCCCACCCCCCCCTCCTCCCTCCCTCCTTCTCTCTTCCTCTTCCTATCTCTCTAAAATCAATAAACATATCCTCAGGTGAGGATTTTTTTTTAATTTTTTTTTTTTTAAAGGACTTACTTGTAGACATCAGCCATGCGTTTTCCAGTCTGGATTCTGTCTTTTTTCTGTGTGAATGCACATTTGCCAAAATCCAGAGAATCACATGGGACTTTCTATGGAACCATAACTCCATGCCCTGGAATGAAGGCACTGCCTCTGGGTAGGATACATGAGTGTACGTGTTCCGCCTTCGCTTTAATGGGGTCCAGCTACAGGAGTGAGAGCAATGGGATTGCTTTCCTTGTACATGTCAGTGCATTCACTGTAACACTGCAGTGACATGAAACTCGGACTCCGTTTCCTTAGCTTTCAGGAAAAGAAAAGTTAAAGGAAAATATATTGTACCTTTTAAAAATAGAGACACATTTTACACATACGCACATATACATTTATATGAGAGTACAGATGCATTTGTTGGTATGTGTGATTTTTACCTACCTGTATTAATTGCCAGCAAATATAAAGTATGTGTAATTTAATCTTTGTTTATAAATTATAGTTGTTATTGAAGACAGTAGCTGCCAAACATGATATTTTTTAAAGTGATTTTTTGCTGACTTTTTTCAAGTCAGAATTCCGTACTTTCACCCCAAGTAAAATTGGAGGAATGCCTGGGCATCTGTGTGTGTCACACACACACACACACACACACACACACACACACACACACACACCATGCAAGGCGATTAAATGGCCAACAGAGAAGTGGCTGCTGTCATCTCCCTGCCCAGCCCGGGGTGCTCGCTGTCCGGACTGGCAGCCTGGCAGCTCCCGGTCCTGCCATCTCGGTGGCAGGCCCTTCGTGGCCTCGCAGTGGCCCTCAATGAGTGACCAGCGATGGGCTTAAAGTTGACGTCTGTGTCACATATGATCCCAAGCGCAGACAGACCTTTGCCACCATTGTTGTCAGATATTTTAGCTCCATCACTTCCCAGCAGCTCTCCCTCCCCCGTCACTCCATTCGACCGCTCTGTTGACCTTACACGAACTTTTACTGAGCAATGAAAACTCTTTACAGATCGCACTAGTATGTTAGGCATTGCCACCATGCCCGCCTCCTAGCAGAAGGAAGGGATCACACCCAGACTGATCCTGATATGATCCTGATATTTCCTGCTTCACAACAAACCATCTCACAGCTCAGTGGCCTCCACACTTACCTGTGCACAGGCCTGTGAGCAGGACGGGGTTCTGCCAGGACAGCTCATCTCGCTCCAGGGGGCGTCAGCTGGTGGCCAGAGGCTGGGCTGGAGCCCCAGAAGGCCTTCGGTCCCCCGCTGGCTTTTGTGCTCCAGTTGGCTGGGACCTGCCCGGGCTCTGGCCAGATACCCACACAGCACGTGTCTGGGTCCCAGGAGAGGCGGGCAGAAAGCGCTGGGCACCTTTCCTGGCCACGCTTGGGACAAACTCAGTGCCCTGTCCACTGCTCTCTGTTCCAGAAAATCGTCCCTGAGCCCAGCTCAGAGCCGGTGAGGGCAGTGACGCTCACCTTCGATGGGAGGGCACCGAGAAACACAGACATGTGCCTGCTTTGTAAAACATGCTGAGCAAAGCCATTGTAGGGATCTGTCAAGGGTCTGGCTCAGAGAAGTGAGATACTCCTGATGTTACTCTGCAGGTGGCAGCAAAGGAGCTTCTGAAAGAACACGCTACTCCTAGGGCTTCCGTCTCCAAGGCCAGAGATGCGTGTATCCCAATGTATTTAGCCCACCTCGGCCCCAGAGAGAAATGTTCTGAGGTTTGATCTAGAGCAAGCATGTTAAACTCGCAGGCCGCATGGCTTGTTTATTTGGCCCGTGTTAGCCTCTGAGTTTGACATGCTTGATCTAGAGACTAATGAGAGCATACCACACCTTCCTAGTCTGTGTTTTCATCAAGAGATGAAACTTGGCCAAGATGAACTAACCACCATAAGATGTTCATCAAACAGAACCTGGATAAAAAGCTTCTTACAACACTCAGTGTGAGTCTAGAAGAAATAGTATCCCATTGGAGAGGGAAGTTTAGGGGCAAAATACCAGAGAATCCTTTGACCAGAAGTGTTGCTAGATTGGGGAAGTGTCCCAAAGGAAGTGGGAGGCAGCTGCACGATGCGCGCCAGCCCCAGCCCAGCCCCAGCCCCAGCCCCAGCCCAGCACTCGCAGCTAATAAACAGGGCTGTCCCCGTGCAAGTCCTCGGCTCCTCTCCCAGGGCAGCCAGCTGGGAGAGGCTTATCGTTGCATCCACGAACAAACATCAGTAACATTTTAAATGTTCTTGTGTGAAAACACGATTCGGTTTTCAGAAAAAAATTCGTTCCTTCACTTGGCATAATAAATCACAGCCCTTTTTTTTCTTTTTTCCTTCTTACCAATGTTGTTCTCAACTATTTGAAGTCGTGTTCTGTGTTCTGTGTTCTTGGGAGCAAAACATGCAAGGCTATTTGCTGTAACCAGCATGCCTTTTATCCCTGCAGGGTTATGAAGTGAACAGCGTCATCGGAAAGGAGGTGGGGTGGCTAAATTGTTTTGTCCAGTCCATAACCACCCACCGGACCAGCTGCCTGGGATTGGAGGAAATCGAGCTTCTGCGTGCAGAAAGGGCCTCTTCAGGCACCACTGGTTCTCCCGGGCGTCGGTGAAGGCCGGTGTGGCTGCCAGGGTGCTGCTGGTGGTTTGGTCGCTGTTAACTATGGGCAAAGTGAATGTACTTTATGATCTTGAAATGGAACTTACAATTTTTCTGGGGCACATGACAATAAAATGGTTTTGTAAACTATAAATCAAAGTACTTTTTTTTCTACTATGTATTTTTATTACCTTCCTGCAAACTTAGGGACGTAACTGTTAATAAAGCTTATGTAAGCTTGAGGTCTTCGTTTTGTATTTATTTACCTTAAGCAATAATATTAATGTAGCAGGAGGAACTGTTCAATTGCAATTTTAAAGTTTTTAAATTTTACCCTGATTCAACACGTTTTTCTTGTAGTTTTTGTTTTAACATTGCCCCAAAGCATACACTGCAAAGTTTAACCCTTTGTCCTATGTTGTTATATTACTGTTCTGCTACAATAGATGTCCAATCTAAGCATTTTGCACTTCAAGGGTTTTTGTTTGCCTTTCAGTATTTGGGGGAAATATTTTAGAGAACTTTATCAGAGGTACAAAAATGTCCACAAAGGGTGAATAAGTTACCGAGTGTGATTATAGGGACACTGAACAGAGTGTATAGTTGGCTCACGCCATAGCCAAGATCGGACTGAAGAGGGGTGGGTTGTTAACATTGCGTTGTTGGGAGAGATTTAAATTAACACCATGAATTTATTAGCTGTGGACACTAAAGGTCTTGTTTTCTCCCTTATAACGATATGGTCATGACGGGCCATAGTTAATTACATAATATAGACGCAGTGCCCGACATAAAGGGTGCCTAGTCCCGCTTTCACTGGGGGAAGGCAAAGGGCTTTATTTATTTGTCCAGATGAACCTCCGGGACATAACACCGTGGCTGTCCTTTCATCTACGTTACTATGGTGCATTCATGCGCACGTTGAAAACCTACATGCAACTGTCCAGGAGACGGAGGAAAGTGAAAGCAGACCCAGGAGGGCCAAGGAGAACTCAGGCTTTTAGAATACCCCGAGCCTCCCTCTTCCTCCCCCCACCCCCCTCCAGCAGCCCACTCCGCTCAGGGAGCCCTTCAGCTGTTCCCCGGAGCCCCCGGTCAGCGGAAAGGGGGGCCGGTCCGTCCCCTCCCCAATCTGGTCCTGCGTTTGCAGCACCTTCCCCAGAACGTGCTAGCTTAACGCAGTTCAGTCGCGCTTCGCTGAGCCTGGGCAGGTTCGACAAAACAGTCGGACGTGGACTTCGGCGTGTTTCCCAAGCAAAGCCGACCCTCTCCCTCTCGTGCGAGCTCAGCGCCCTCGGGTGACACACCTGGGTCCGCGCGGCCTTCCCGGCGCCGCGCTGCGCACCTGGGGCTGGAGCGCGCCTTCCCCCGCGGGTCCTGGGGCCCCCGCGAGCAGGCGTCGCCGCGAACACAGGAAGCAGGGGTGGTTTCAAATACTTCTTTATTCTTACCAATACTGTAAAAATTAATATAAAAAAGTGAGCGTGCTCAGTCTTTTCCTCTTATCTACAATACAAAGGATTGTCTTTAAAGTCTTTTTCTTTAAAAAAAAAAAAGTACCTTAGCTGCATCAACAGGAGTAAGATGTAGAAAAAGCTACCATATAAAAATAACTTAAGGGAAAATAAACAAGTATAGCTTCTCTCCAGGGTCAGTGGTGGCAAGTCCAGGCCGCAGCTCCCTTCCCCTCGCGTCCCCGAAACGGCGGCGCCGGCGGCTGCGGCGGGCAGGGCGCGCCGGGCTCCGCGCGGCGGGTC